TCATCTTTCCTGGTCCAGTGATTCTTGAGAAGAAGATTTTTTAAGATTTTCCTTATATATTCCTATGTAAAACTTTGATCGGCCATTTTGGCCCCACCCTAACCCAGGGGGTCATGATTTGAACAATCTTGAATCTACTCTACCTGAAGAAGATTTCACATGAGTTTCATCTTTCCTGGTCTAGTGGTTCTTGAGAAGAAGATTTTTAAAGATTTTTCCTATATATTCCTATGTAAAACTTTTATTGGCCGTTTTGGCCCCACCCTACCCCTGGGGGTCATGATTTGAACAAACTTGAATCTACACTACCTGAGGATGATTCCATATGAGTTTAATCTTTCCTGGCCCAGTGGTTCTTGAGAAGAAGATTTTTAAAGATTTTTCCTATATATTCCTATGTAAAAATTTGATCGGCCATTTTGGCCCCACCCTACCCCCGGGGGTCATGATTTGAACAAACTTGAATCTACACTACCTGAGGATGATTCCACATGAGTTTCATCTTTCCGGGACCAGTGGTTCTTGAGAAAAAGACCCCGGGGGTCATGATTTGAACAAACTTGAATCTACGCTACCTGAGGATGATTCCACATGAGTTTCATCTTTCCGGGACCAGTGGTTCTTGAGAAGAAGATTTTTTAAAAATGTCATTAATTTTTCTCTAATTCATAATTATCTCCCCTTGGAAAAGGGCTTGGCCCTTCATTTGAAGAAACTTGAATCCCCTTTACCCAAGGATACTTTGTAGCAAGATTGGTTGAAATTGGCCCAGTGGTTCTTGAGAAGAATATGAAAATGTGAAAAGTTACAACAACGACAACGCCGACGACGACGACAACGACAACGACAGACAACGGACAAATTTTAATCAGAAAAGCTCACTTGAGCCTTTGGCTCAGGTGAGCTAAAAACTATAACCAAATAAAATGAGCATTTTCATAAATTCATGTCTATATTTTGCTAAAAAGTTAACTTATACATGTATTCCTTCCAACAAAGTGTATTCTACTTTTTCAAACCACTGTCCTAAACGCTACAAATCTAACATATAACCATACAAAAAAATACCAGACACCTTAATAGCTTACAAGACATTGATCAGTGCTTAGTAATACATTCAATTTCATACATAAACCATGTAAAATAGTTATCATTTTTCTAAACTATCGACTTCTATTTGAGTTGTAACCATCATCCTGTACTCACAAGATGTGTACTTGATTTCTGGGGAGGTGATGGTATCAATGTCACAGTGAACACTACTCGTCTCAATCTGAAAGGCCTTGGGTTTCCTTAATGGAGTCTTACAGTTCAGAAGAGCTAAAACCCCTCTACCCCGACCCTTAGAAGCCTGCATCTGAAATTGACAAACAGTCATTTTAATAGTATGTCTATTAAACTGAATTTGCATAGGCAACAATTACCGTACATCAGCAGGAACCATGTTAAGGATTAAAAAATCAAATGAGAAAATAGTTATTCTCTTACTTTTTATTTTAATGTTACTGGTATTTTCTCAATTACTCTTCACTTTTCTTTACCCTAACAATTTAATTTGTTGTGTTGAAAACTTATAGGCACATATATCAAGGTGCCACTGCAGGTAATATGATATTACCTGCAGTGGCACCTTAATATATAAATAAGAGGCCCACAAGTGGATATTACAAATATCCACTTGTGGGCCTCTTATTTATTTCGTAAAGTAATAATTACCAGGTACAATAATTTTATTTTTTTTATTGCAGTTGCATGCAATATTTTCACCTTTTTATTGTCCCCCGCATGAAAAGTGGGGGATATTAATTTGGGTTTGTCCGTCCATCCGTCCGTCCGTCTTTCTGTCTGTCCGTAACACTTTCGTTTCCACACGATATCTCGAGAACCCTTTGAGCTTTTGCAATGAAATTTAGCATAGCAACTCCCTATGGACTAAAGAAGATCCCTATTGATTTTGAGGTCAAAAGGTCAAAGGTCAAGGTCATTAATAAGCAAATTCTGTCTGTTATAGCACTTTCGTTTCCACACGATATCTCTAGAACCATTTGAGATATCCCTGTGGCCTAATGAAGAACCCTATTGATTTTGAGGTCAAAAGGTCAAAGTTCAAGGTCGTAAATTTATACATTCTGTCTGTGTGTAACACTATCATTTCCGGGCGATATTTCAAGAAGATTTTGAGTTTATGCAATATAATTTTATATCAAAACTCCCTAGGACCTCTCTCACCCCTCTCAAAGTGCCCCGCCTCGTTTGTTTTATTAGTATTTATAGTATTACATGTCGCTATTTTTAGCACAGGGGCATGAGGAGAGTTATTGCGTATAAAACAGGTCCTCGGCGGACTTTATGATCTTATTACATATATTAGAACTGTTTAATAAAGGCTAAATAAATCAAACACCATGGATTGTGTAAAATTTTGAGAATACCGAACATGAATATATACATGTATGTGACTTCAGTTCTGCATATACTTGACTTCATGTAAAAGCGATTCCGTGGTCTAGAGGTGTGTCTCTCGCTTCACATGTGAGAGGTCGATCGAATCTCGATTGTTCCTTTTTTTTTTTTTTTTTTTTAAATACTTTTCTTTTTTTTTTAAACTAAATGATAGTATTCAGCATGTGAAATGAAAAATTTATGAGGTTATAAAATCATCATTACAGTGTGATGAATATTCCACATAAAAGAATCTTCTATACACATAATAAAAGAATAAGCAATCAAATCTTTATATACATATTGACATACATGTATTTTATTTGCTTCAGTATACATGTATACTTTTAATAATTCTACAAATTCAGTCAGGGGGATCCGACTTTTTCCCTAAGCGGGGGACACGAATTCTCTGAATTAGCTTGTTTTACTTCATTTTCCTTCAAGTAGTTATATGTTGATAAAGATGCAATAAAAAGAATAGCACGATAAATGTTTTGAAATTTCTGGCTTTAAGTTCCAATTAAGATTCCCATGCAACAATGCAGACTTCTCACATAGATTTTCTTTTATGGCTCAAGATAATTCTTTGTCTATATCCAATACAAGAAAAAAAAACGTTGAATATGTACTGTTTATATTAAGTCCTCCACTAACATGACCAAAGAGAGAATATCACATTCTTGAGAGATTATATCACTCCACAGGCACCTGAATTTTTATCAACTTGGTGCTCAATAAGCCAAATATCGAAAAATTTTACCCCCTCTATATATAAATACATTTTTATGTATATAGATGGGGTTGAATTTTTCGATATTTGGCTGATTTATATAAAATTTCAGGTGATCACTCTAGTCTAGGACCGCGCCTAATATAATACACTATAAACATGGTAAGGAAATGTTACCAGGCCTAGTACAATCACTAGTAGCTACGTAGCTTGATTAGCTTTATTTACCCACCTGAGGTAGCTTTATTTAACTACCAAATCAATTAATTTCTATAAAAAAGCATTTTTCTCAGGGTGCAGAAAATATCATTATGATGCAGCCATCATTTTAAACTTTGAACTCATCTGAAAACAATTCATGAAAAAATCCCTCTTAAAATGTCTTTTTCTGTGCAATTCAATCAAAGTTCTAAAAGTTTTGGGGCTATGTATGACAGTTAGAACAGTTACTCCTTGAATGAAAAGACAAAGAAGTCAAGTTCAGGTTAACAAGATAATACTGTAGATCACTAAATTTTCGCGACACCTTATTTTCGCGAGATTGTCTTTTAGTCTTTGTTAGCGAGACATTATTCTCACGAATAGTTGTTATTCCTCTATATAATCGTAAGGAAAACTTTAATACGCAAGAATTAATTTTTTGCGAACATATTGTCTCGTGTAATTACGCGAAAATAAAGTTCTCGCGAATAAAAAGTGATTTACAGTAGGTCGGTAATTATTCAGCTTAATGTGAGGAAATCATACTCAGCAATGCCTCATCATACGCATGAGAGAAGACAGTTAACCAAACAATGGAATTACATGTTTTGCTCTAAATCGTCCAAACACAGCAATTATTGTATAAACTATCTCTGCTTTAGATTGTTTTTTTAAACCTCCTTAGTATAAATAAGGATAGTATTTAATTGCGATTTTTTGTCTCTTTTTAATAAAAAGAAAAATTTTGAAAAGTTACATTGAAATAGCTAAATAAAGCTACCTGTGGTAGGTAATTAAAGCTATGTAGGTATAATTCTACCTACGTAGCTAAATCTATAGACCCTTTTCCTATGACACATTTTGCTTAAGATTTCCCTTATAGCCACCATCTTGTAGGGCAAAGTAGTGAATTTACCTCTTTGTGCAACCAATTTTAAACATGCATGCCAAAAATATATGGTGGAAAATATTTATAATCTTATAATCATGAATTAATAGAGGCTTTAACAAACGTATATTAAAAGAAAAATAGTGTTATCTTTACCTCAGTAACCAATATAACAAATTGAACTTGGTTGAATAATGAAAGGATCTGGAAATGTTGCCCTACAATCTGGGGGCTAAGGGGAATAACTCCAAGGCAAAATATGACATAGGAAAAGGGTCTACAGTGATTGCATGTACTGGACCTGGTTACCTGTCTAAGAAATAATTATACATATATGTACTGATAATTAGAGATATTGTAAGCTTAACATACTCTTGATGTTAAGACGTGTTATTACCATTAAGAACTTTAAAAACAGTATGTAAAGATCCAGCATCAGCAACTGCTTTTACATCCCAATGTTTAAGTTTCGGCGGGAAATGTCCAAGATTTCAGGTCACGTTTAAGGGCTTAGCATAAGTCGAATGAGCAATTTAACAAAAGAAAAAAGACATTGTGATGTAATACTTGATATTTGTAATAATGTGAAGATAAATTTATCTATTTTACCTGTAAGGTTTTAAGGATACCTTGTTGTTATATGCGAAAAATTTTCTCTTTATGATAGGAAATTGTAAACTGGTCCCCAGTCTTTCGGGATTTCTCTAGACTCACCCAATCGTTCGGGAAGATTTTACAACCAGTTTAATGTTGACATCCTTTCGGTTTTCTCGGGTGTTTGGTCCAACTCTTTCCAACAAAGATGGACTGAGTCGCAGACTCACATTCACAGAAGGCTATGGACATGACCAATGATGGTAATTTCATGAAATCAAAGTTTAAAGAAATTGACGAGTGTTTAACAATCCTTAGCTTGCTATGATATAAAAACTTCTTTAGGGCAGACGAGATACTTTGTGGGTGTTTTCTATTTTTATGAATTATGATATAATCATCTGTGTATGTAGACCTTTATCCATTGTATCTATACTTGATATTACTTTTGAACTCTCAGAGTAATTAAGCATTGTACATGTATGAGGTTTATTATATAACATTCCACGTAAGATATGCTCATATAATAAATATTTCATGAAAGTGTGACTATCATTTTTTTTAATCTAAAGTCTATACAAGTTGCTGTCCTTTAAAAAAGGACTGCAATACGTGGACCAAATGCATGTTTTTCTAACCGAAATCCAATTTAAGAAAATCTCTAGGTGTAGGGAATATTCATGTTGGTTTGTTCACATTTTCTCTACAATGATCTGCCTACTTATGAATGATAGTCTCAAAGCAAAATTGTTAAATATTTTCTCCGATTAGCGGCATTTAAGTTTTGTCTGTTTAAAAAATCGGGCTATTTTGATACATGTTACCAATAATGGCTGCATGGGACTTGACACCTGATTTAGATTTATACAGAAGAAAAATAGAGATCTGATGGTTCAGCACAGCTCTGTAGCACGCAATTTTTTTCGTCGGAGCCCCCCCCCCCCCCCCCAAACACATACACATTAAAAGCCGTTGCTACAGACCTCTATCAAACGGAATTTGGATTGCTGGAGTATTAAATTATTTTGCGAGTTTTGATGCACAAAACTAATGCCGGTGAAAACTTGTTTTATCTTAAAAAGCTAGAACTATTAGTTGAATGACGTTTTATTTTCAAGGTGTGAAGTAACATGTATCTACATGTTTACTGCAAGCTCTTCCTACTTTTTAAAATGCCTGTACCATAGAATCAATGTTTAGTTTGTATATAAAAGTATATGTAGGCCTATAAGAGAGAAATTCGGATCCGCCAATGAATAGATTGCGATATACGGATTTAAAAGCACAATCTGACAATGATTGGCGTATTCTAATTCGAATAGGGGGAATTATTCTAAGGGCAAGTTACCTAAGGAGCGAACTCTCTAGCATTATCGCGCATGCGTAGCCTGTCATTTGCCCATAGCATCCGGTTTAGCCTCGCTTATATATTTACTGCGTGGACCTCAGGGTCCACGCAATAAAAATGATACAGTACGTCACACTGTAGATAATATGCAGAAGCACATTGTATCAGGGATGCATATACTCAATACTGGCATATAGGTATATGGCTACATATTCTGAGTATTACAAAGTATAAACTGGTGAAGGACAGTATATGAAATTCACAAGTTCTTGCCCCGTTTTCTAAATTTTTCTAAATGTGTGAAACCCTCAGCCTCTGAAATACTTTGCCACTGTTACCACTTAGCTGTTGAGACCCATTATGTTGACTGACTTTCAGACAACTGTGAACCAGATGTTATATATTCCCTCTCTTTGTAGAAATTCAGCTACCAGGATGTTAAAAATTTTAATTTGATAAAAAGAATTGCACACGATTTGTTGTTAGATATGAATTTTTATCCAACTTGTTGTGCATTAGGTAAAGATCATATTTTAACCAAAAACCATGGGAGATTTTTTTTTTAAATATACACATGTATATTTACAAAAACAAAATTGTGATATATATCTTACAGATCCAAATGGTAAACCCTAATTCTTATTTCTGTATACACTATAGTAGGTACTTGTACACTGACCTATGAGAGTGCTGCCCTTGGATACAGTGATTTTCCATTGACAGAGGAACCAGTGTATCTTCTGGGCATAAAGTACAGTGCTTTATATGGTAAGATAGAATTTTCATTTTTTTTTTTTTCATTTGATATCACATTTGACCACAATATATACACTGTAATTATATTTGTTGACTGTGACTATTTCATCATATAACTGTAAATAATTTAATTGATTACAAGAGGAAGTAAGAATACTTTACCTTATATTGCAGACAGGGATGACTTAAAGAAAGATTTTCTATCCAGGATATGGTGTACTTATAGGAAAAACTTCCCAGCCATTGGTAAATTCTGTATACAGGGAATTTTTGGCCCGTTTTATTTTGATTCTTTTTGCACGCTTATGGGTGGACAGATTTTAAATGGGCAAAATAAAAAGAACACAGTATAATTTCTTTCAAAGAACTGCAACTGTATGTATTTAGAATCGTACGGATTTGTTTGCAAGTGTTAAAGGGTGAAAATAAGACAGGGCAAATAAAAACAACGGTATACAGTAGTTATGTTCAAATGATGTATTGATTCTTCATTAAGTTAAGTATGGTTTCTGAATGATGGCCTTGACTGACACTCAAAAGAACTACTGTTAGATAGCTGCAGATCTGTAGCTCTCCGAAAAAAATATTGATAGACCAGAGAGCTACAGTGCCACCCATTGAAAAAACTGTATATTTATTGCGCACAAAAAAATGCGCTCGGTTCTTGATTAATTCTTCCAAATTCTTACCTCAACTGCAAAAAAGGGAAGATTCCAAAAAATTCCTCTCTCCTTTATCAATTACTCTTGTAGTTGACATATGAACGAAGCATATTGGACCGAATTACTAAGTATCTTTGAAACCAAAATGGCAGTATAAATAAACGAAATGTTCGATGACTACAATATCAGGATCAGGAGGACTATTAACAACAATTATGAGGAAAGTTTGGTTTTGGAAACAGCGAAAGAATGTGTTAGGAACATATGATTAGTAATATTTTGAGATTGCAGTTTTAAAAACATGGAAAAATAAATTGCATTTTTTTGTGCGCAATAAATATACAGTTTTTTCAATTGGTGGCACTGTAGCTCTCCGGTCTATCAATATTTTTTTCGGAGAGCTACAGATCTGCAGCTAACTGTTAGAATGCTAGTGATATAAAATGATGTGTATTATGTCTTCAAGGAGTTCATTTGATATGTATTAATGAGAAAATTCCAATTATACATGAAAGAAAGAAGCTGAAATGTTTATTAGTGTATGTTCAATAATGTACAGAGAGTATCTTTAATTCACTTGGAAATTTGGATTCAATCAGCAACTTTCTAATGAAGTTCATGGATTTAACTAAATAATGTATTTCTAGGTGGGACAGGTCCAACCTCAGATGGGGGATGGGGATGTATGTTACGGTGTGGACAGATGATGCTTGCCCAGGCTCTGGTGGTCAGGCACCTAGGGAGAGGTTTACATCTACTTTTCTTATTACACCATATTACATCTTAACGGTAATCTTAAAGATCTATTTCTGGTTCTGTAGGCCTTCACACACCGGGTACATCACATATTAAATTTATTAAAAGATCAACGAAGGAAAAGATGAATGGGTTGTTGACATTGTAGTTGTCTTGACACAAAAATTTAAGACAAACTTTAATTTAATGCAGATTGGAGATGGAATCCACACTGCCATGATGAAAGATACAAAAGAGTTCTACAAATGTTTGCTGACAAGAAAAGTGCAAATTACTCCATTCAACAAATAGGTGAGCATGTAGTTTTCTGTAATAATTAATGCTTTTATTCTTCAAATTGTTTAAAATTCACATTTTTTTTGTTTGATTTGTACAGTTTAGAAAATGGATAAATACAATTCGAAAAAAAAAATATGCATGCATCATGTTAAAGAAGAGGTATTATCTTAATTTCTTATGCTATAGCATCCATGGGAGTTTCTGAAGGTAAACAAGTTGGATCTTGGTTTGGACCAAACACAGTGGCTCAAGTTTTAAAGTAAGACATAAAAATTATCAATATGAGGTCTAAGTGTGTACCTTAAAGCATAAAAAGTTGAACATTGTTATTACTAAGCATTCATATTTTTATCGAATACAGTGGATAAACCAAAACTTGTTTACTAGGAACACTGATATTGCGAATTCATGCATGGATATAGCGAAGTTATTTTCGATCCCCAGCTTTATAGATTTAAATAATTTCTTATATGGATATAAAGGATTAAGGACATAGCAAAGTAATTTCATAGGTCCCATTGACTTTGTTATAACCAAGTTTTATATCTATATGATTTGAAAGTCTCAACATTTCTTTTAGCTCACCTGAGCTGAAAAACTCAAGTGAGCTTTTCTGATCATGAGTTGTTCAACATCTATCCATCCATCTTTCCATCCATACATTTGTAAACTTTTCACATTTAAGACTTTTTCTGAAGAACTGCTGCACTTTGAATGTATGATTATGCGTAAATTCAGTCACTTCTTTTCCTTTAAAGTTTGCTTGAAATTAGCCATTAAATTGATAATAAAATTAATTATTTTATAATTTAAAAAATTTTTAGAAATATATTACAATGTACTATATATTACATTTATGTACATTTCCTAAGTGAATCTGTTCTTTCTTTGAATAGGAAGTTAGCTGTGTATGATGAGTGGAGTTCTGTTGTGATTCATATAGCCATGGACAACACTGTTATAGAGAATGATATCAGTAGGTTATCCCAACACTGTTATAGAAAATGATATCAGTAGGTTATTTACAACAATATTACAGAGAATCAATGTTATCAGTAGGTTATTTACAACACTGTTATAGAGAATATCAGTAGGTTATTTACAACACTGTTATAGAAAATGATATCAGTAGGTTATTTACAACAATGTTACAGAGAATCAATGTTATCAGTAGGTTATTTACAACAATGTTATAGAAAATGATTCAGTAGGTTATCTACAACACTGTTATAGAAAATGATCAGTAGATTATAAACAACAATGTTATAGAAAAATGATATCAGTAGGTTATTTACAAAACACTGTTATAGAAAATGATATCAGTAGGTTATCTACAACACTGTTATAGAAAATGATATCAGTAGGTTATTTACAACAATATTATAGAGAATGTTATCAGTAGGTTATCTACAACATTGTTATAGAGAATGATATCAGTAGGTTATATACAACAATGTTATAGAAAATGATTCAGTAGGTATCTACAACACTGTTATAGAACATGATATCAGTAGGTTATTTACAACAGTGCTATAGAAAATGATATCAGTAGGTTATCTACAACAATGTTATAGAAAATGATATCAGTAGGTTATCTACAACACTGTTATAGAACATGATATCAGTAGGTTAACTACAATACTGCTATAGAAAATGATATCAGTAGGTTCTCTACAAATAATTAAAGCAATCAGTTTTCTTACTTTTATGTAAGTATCACATGCTTTTTTTCAAATAAAATTCTTTATGTGTTTTAATATTTTCTTGACTTGCGTTACATGTTTTTGAATGATTAGATCTGAAATATGTAACATACATGTATTTCTTGTCACCTTGTATATCATGGGTAAACTGCAGTTTTTATTGTGGCAGATAAAAGAACTAAAATTCAAATCTTAGAATTGTTGGATGTTCAAATAATTGATGAACATGTTCCTTTAAAACTATTGTCAAAGAAAAATACAATATGTCATCATGACCAATTTTAGACACAAACTGTTTTTATTTCAGGGAGTGTTTGTAAAGGAAATGAACAAAGTGACTGTGATATAATTGGAGTTAGACAATTAAAACATAATTCTGCTGCCACGGGACAAAGCAAAAGTTCTAGTCAAAATTCCCAGAACCAAAACAAAAACAAACAAAATACAGTGAATGTCAAAAGTTGGAACCCACTTTTACTTGTAATTCCATTACGACTTGGATTGACTGAAATTAATTCAGTTTATGTGCATAGTTTAAAGGTACATTTAAAGTTTTCTTTTTACTTTACTATAACTCGATCTTCTTTTATGAAGAATGCATATTTACCGGGTAATATATATTTATTAAAATTAAATATTGCCACCACAAAGGGAAATCATCTATAAATTGATTTATTCAATTGTAAAGAATTTCTTTGAAAGAAAACCATTTACAAAATGTTCTTGAAGATAATTAAGTAATTAAGTCTAAATAAATACTACCTTCTAAATTTCAGGCTTGTTTAAGTTTTCCACAGAGTGTGGGTATCATTGGAGGCAAACCAAACCATGCCCACTGGTTTGTTGGTTATATGGGTGAGCATATACATGTATTTATGTATTCTAAGTTCTGTTAGATTTCTTGTACATTTTTCATGTCTCTAGTCTCAAATTTGTTTGAAAACGTTTTTACCTTCGACAGCTCCATCACACAAATAAGAAAATATTTTTTTAAAACTCCAAAAGTACATAAGTTCTTGATTCTGAGATTCTACAACAAAAACGTTTTGTTATTTTTAGGGGATAAACTGATTTACCTTGACCCCCACACTACGCAGCCCTGGGAGGACCTAGACAGCCCAGACTTCCCCGATGACAGCTACCACTGTCCCTTCCCTTCCACAATGAATGTCATGGATTTAGATCCTTCTATAGCACTGGTATAAAGGCATACCCATAAATATGTTTTGTCCGAGTTCCTTATAATCTTGAAGTTTTACAAGAAATTTTTCAGAGTTTTGTCTTGGATAGAAAACTTCACTATATATACATTAATTTGCTGTATTTTTGTTTTACTACATGTACATGGTTTTACTATTGAAAAATTGAACAATCTTAAATTTTGTCACATGTATTTGGTATGACTTGTATTGGATCAGCTGAATTATGTATGACTTGTTTTGGATCAACTGAATTATGCATGCTTGTTTCAGATCAGCTGAATTGTGTAGGTCTTGTTTTGGATCAGCTGAATTGTATATCCATTATAGGAGAAATATTTCTGAATTTTTTTCCCCATAAGTTAAATTAATTAACCCATAAAATGTTTCCCATCAATTAGATTTTGAGCTGAATAATTAAATGCAAATGTGTAAAGTAGTATACTTTCAATTTCACTCTGCAGCTGTGTGTAGACTAGTACATGTATAGTGAACTAGATGAAAAAACACGTAGAATACTTGCAAAATATTGAAAGAAACAGTATAAGGATTGCTAAAATAATTTCAACATGATAGTTAAAACTTAAAGCCATTTATTTTTTGTTTATTCAGGGTTTTTACTGTGGAACAGAAAAAGAGTTTGATGATCTCACACAGAGTGTTCAGAAGTTTGTTGTCAGCTCCAGTAAAAACCCCATGTTTGAACTGTACAAAGATAGACCCCATCACTGGCCTCCGTATGAACCATATACTGCCCAGTCAGCCAGTGCAACAGGTAAGATACACTGCCCAGCTAGTGCAACAGGTAATGTGATCCCATATGAACCATATACTGCCCAGTCCGCTAGTGCAACAGGTAATGTGATCCCATATGAATCCTACACTGCCCAGTCATCTAGTGCAATAGTTAATGTGATCCTATGTGGACCATACACTGCTCAGTCAGCTAGTGCAATAGGTAAGGTGATTGTATGTGGACCATATACTGCCCATCCAGCTAGTGCAACAGGTAAAGTGATCCCATGTGGACCATACACTGCCCAGTCAGCTAGTGCAATAGGTATTTAAGGTGATCACATGTGGACTATACACTGTCCAGTCAGCTAGTGCATTAGGTAAGGTGATCCCATGTGGACCATACACTACCCAGTCAGCTAGTGCAATAGGTAAGGTGATCCCATGTGGACCATACACTGCCCAGTCAGCTAGTGCAATAGGTAAGGTGATCCCATGTGGACCATACACTACCCAGTCAGCTAGTGCTGTAAGTAAAGTGATCTCACGTGGACCATATACTGCCCAGTCAGCTAGTGCATTAGGTAATGTGATCCCATGTGGACCATACACTATCCAGTCAGCTAGTACAACAGGTAATGTGATCCCATGTGGACCAAACGCTGCCCGTCCAGCTACTGCGCAATAAGTAAAGTGATCCCATGTGGACCATACACTGCCCAGTCAGCTAGTGCAATAGGTAAGGTGATCCCATGTGGACCATACTCTGTCCAGTCAGCTAGTGCAATAGGTAAGGTGATCCCATGTGACCATACACTGCCCAGTCAGCTTGTGCAACACGAAAGGTAATCAAAAAATATTTACATATCAAAACATTTAGTAACATCACAAATTCCAAGTAGATGAATATAGGAACAAGCATTTATATATCAAGGATTCTAATTGAGATTTTTAGGTCACCTGAGTAAACTCAGGTGACCTATTGCTATCCGTTTTCGTCTGTCGTCGTTCGTCGTACGTTGTTCGTAAACTTTTGAACATTTTCAGCTTCTTCTCTGCAACCACTGAACCAATTTTAACCAAATTTGGCACAAAGCATCTATGGGTGAAGGGGAACAAAAATTGTGAATTTCATGATCCCTGCCCCCCTGGGGCCTGAGGGATGGGGCCAAAACCACTAAAATTAATGCAATCTTTAAAAATCTTCTTCTTTACTCCTGACCATCAAGCAGTCAAACTGTTTGCATGATTGTAATCAGCATTGAGTCCTCTACCAAAATTGTGAAATTCATGGCCCTGGGGTCAGGGGTTCTAGTGCTAGGGCAGGGCTAAATAAGTATATAGTGAAAATGCATTATTTCTTTGAAAATCTTCTTCACTGCTCCTGGGTATTAAATAAGCCAACTAAGTAGATAGTTATGATGAGCAAGAGTGCCTCTACCAAAATTGTGAATTTTTTGGCCCCAGGGTCAGGGGTTCAGGTGTTAGGGCGGGGCTCTATTGATTATATACAGGAAAATACATGATTTCTTTGAAAATCTTCTTCTCTGCTCCTGGGTATTAAATAAACTAACTAAGTGCATAATTATGATGAGCAAGAGTGCCTCTATCAAAATAGTGAATTTTATGGCCCCAGGGTCAAGGGTTCTGGTGTTGGGGGGGGGGGGGGCTCTATAGATTATATAGTAAAAATACATGAAATCTTTGAAAATCTTCTTCTCTGCTCCTAGATATTAAATAAACTAACTAAGTGCATAGGTATGATGAGCATGAGTGCCTTTACCAAAATTGTGAATTTTATGGCCCCAGGGTCAAGAGTTCTGGTGTGGGGGGGGGGGGGGGCTCTATTGATTATATAGTGAAAATACACAAATTCTTTGAAAATCTTCTCTGCTCCCTCCTAGGTATTAAATAAACTAACTAAGTGCATAGTTATAATGAGCAAGAGTGCCTCTACCAAAATTATGAATTTTATGGTCCCGGGTCAAGGGTTCTGGTGTGGGGGGGGGCTCTATAGATTATATTGTAAAAATACATGAATTCTTTGAAAATCTTCTTCTCTGCTCCTAGGTATTAAATAAACTAACTAAGTGCATAGTTATACTGAGCAAGAGTGCCTTTACCAAAATTGTGAATTTTATGGTCCCAGGGTCAGGGGTTCTGGTGTTAGGGCGGGGCTCTATAGATTATATAGTAAAAATTCATGAATTCTTTGAAAATCTTTTTCTCTGCTCCTAGGTATTAAATAAACTAACTAAGTGCATAGTTATGATGAGCAAACATGCTTTTACCAAAATTGTGAATTTTATGGTCCCAGGGTCAGGGGTTCTGGTGTTGGGGGGGGGGGGCTCTATTGATTATATAGTGAAAATACATTAAATCTTTGAAAATTTTCTTCTCTGTCTCTGGGTATGAAGCAGATGAACTACCTATATAGTTATGATGAGCAAGGGCAATAATCCTGCAGAATTGTTAATTTCAAGGCCCCAGGGTCAGGGAAGGGGTGGGGCTCTACTTATATACTGAAAATGAATTAATTGTTTGAAATCTGCTCCTTTCTATTTATAAAACATTTATTTGATATTTTTTTTTAAGGGTGCCTTTTTAAAATTTGTGCAATGTGTAGACCTAGGGTCAGGGGTTTATTTCACAGTGTCACTACTGATTATTGCTGAATATTACTTAGTTGGAATGCATTTTTGTTCCCCTACCTTGCGTATGGGTATTCAGTACCCCTGCGAGGTGATCATGAATACCGGTAATGAATTTCCTTGAATTTTTCATGAATTTTATTCATGAAATGTTCATGAAACGTTCATGAAGATCCTATGAACTTATTATTGGACATTTTCATATCAATAAACCAAGCTAAGCAACTGCTAAGTGTAAGTTATGATGATCAATGGTGCCTCTTTCAAAATTGTGAATGCCATATAGCATCTGGCTTAAAACATGAATCAAATTCAATAACTGGAAAGTTGTTGCAGAATGCTCAGGTGACCTATAAGGCCCGTGGGCCTCTTGTTCAACTATAAATAATTATTTAGAGTGACTGTGTTTTCTTAATTCTTTGATTCACTGGTCATGGGGAAAGTTAAAAAAAATTATGGATGGACATAAAAAAAACTTGTAAGAGCAAAGTATCTTTGTTGTATCGTCTGCTCCATTCTTAATCATAACAGTATACTTTGGACAAGTCATAGTCCTCAACTTAAAAGTAGACTAATCTTTCCAACTTCTTTCTCTGAGCATTAGCAGTAGCCTAAGACATGCAGGTTATTTCTAAGGTTGATGGTTTGTTTTCTATTTCTGCAGGATTTACTATGGTTGAAGGGCTTGATACAGACGAAGAATTTGAACTCATTGGATAACTACAAAGGTTGTTGGTGGAGCCTTCAATGGGTGGACAGATCCAGTGAGATAATTTTTACCATAAGTTAACTTTAAATGTGCCTGTCATGATAAAGGACACAAAGAGCCGAAATTGTGATATTTATTGTATAACCTTCTTTGTGAAAACCCTCTATACTGTTGTATGTTTTGCAGAACCTTAGAGTTATTTCTAAGAGTTCAAATATATCCATGTAAATTATATAAGCTTACTTCCAGAAGAAATTAACTTGTACATGTCACTATCAAGAGAAACTTGTACATGTCACTATCAAGAGATCATTGTGAAAAATCAGTAACTAACCATGCTTCAGATACCTGTTTTCTGTATCCGTAAAAGCTTTTAAAAGTGCACTTTAATGATGTAAATTCTGTCATTGCTATTTAATTGTGCTTAATGTAAATATGCAAAAAATTATACTTTTTTCTGCTCAATATATATTTTGTTTAAAAAAATTCGAATATTAAACTTGTTCAATTATTAGGATCTGTTAGCTTGACTCCATGTATTACTATGGATTAAACACTTGTAGAGAGAATACAAATCATAATTCACATGACTTATATTACCGGTATTATAATATGCAAATATTGCTCAGAAATAGGTTTATTAGTATAAACTGTAGTTTAATACACTATTCTGTAAGTCTTTGTTCTGTTTTAAGGATATTTTAATTCAGTATGTTGCAAGATGAAATGTGTTAATTTAAGATATTGATTAAAATAAAGATGTGTTAATTTTGAAAGACTTTGTAATTTTTAGGCTGTTGTTTTCCGTATATCAGATACTGATAGTAATGATGTATACAATACCAATTTTTCAGTGGATGTTGCCATTAGGTTTGAATAACCGGTAATAATAATGCAAATATGAAATTTTACTATAATACATGTACATTATTTTTATTCATTTATTTAGTATTAATTTTCTGATCACTAATCTTTTATAACAGAAACAAGATTGTTTTATTTCCCCCAAAATTGTTTATTCTTTGACTGTATTTATGATGGATAACAAGAGTTTAAATTCTCTCAAACTTTTGCTTTGATTGCGCCCATTCCAATTCGTCCACATCGATAGCACAGGCACCTTCATTCATCCGTTTTCTTTGAGAATCTTTATTAGCCACTCTTTCGTTTTCTGACAGTAATTTCTTCATTTTCTT